TGGAATCACAAAAGACGCTGAATACCAACCAACACAACCCTAAGCAGGGACAGCAATGCTGGAATATCATACCTAATCTCCAATTATACTACAGGGCCTCAGTAACAAAACCAGTGTGGTACTGACACCAAGCCAGACAAACAAACCAGTGGGAGGCCCCAGAAATAAACCCACACAGCTATCTACAGCCTTTTGATTTGCAACAAATATGCCAAAAACCTGTGTTGGAGAAATGGCGGCTTTCCACAATTGGGGTTGGGAAAAACAAGTTATCCACAGGTGGAAATCGAAAACTAGATCACTATCTCTCACCCTGTATCAAAATCAATTCATGGTGAAGATCAAAGACCTTCATGCAAGACCTGAAAATCTGAAACTGCTAGAAGAAAAGAAAAAAAGAAGAAACACCTCAAGATATAAATAGAAGAAACACCTCAAGATATGGATATTGGCACAAAAACAGAGATCTCATCTCAAAGGGCATAAGAGACAGTTTATTCCAGAGCCAAGTATGAATGACCATGGCTCTGGAACATAGATTTAGGTTACTCCAAAACCTATGTCCCAATGAGGTAGTATTTTCATGAACTTTTTAGGTATTTAGGTATTTATGAACATAGTCAAGGTATTTTCCAAATAGGTTGGTGGGTACAGCATGTGGGTGGACTAAAGCAAGATGGAGCTTTGCTTTGGGCCTTAGACTCTATCTGATAACACTCATCCCTTTGATTGTTGGAAAACTAGGGTTTTGATAAGCTAATACATTCTGAAAGTTTTTTTTTAATCTGTTAGGATATTAAGTCTGTCTTTATCTGTTAGTGATGGAGTATTTGTTCTGACACAGAGGAGGGCAAGGGATAGCTATTCGGTAGGCTAAAGATAGCCCAAGATAAACTGTAATTAGGCTTTGCATCTGTAACATTCCATCCTCTCCACATGGCTGACGTTCTCGTCAGTTAATCAACCTTTGCAGACACAGCTTCTTTCCAGGAATTCTCGTTCACATAACAGAGGCAAGGACTTTCTGCAAAGGGCTCTAATAGCTCAGGAAACAACTGCAAAAATTGACAAATGGGATTGCATGAAATTAAAAAGCTTTGGCACAGCGCAAGAAACAATTACCAGGGTGAAAAGTCAGCCCACAGGATGGGGGAAAATCGTTGGTAGCTATTCATCTGACAGGGGATTAATATCAAGAGCATTTAAGGAACTAAGAAAATTAAACACCAAAAGACAAATCATCCAATAATGGATTGAACAGGCAATTTTCAAAAGCAGTAGTACAAATGGTCGATAAGCGTATGAAAAAAAGTGTTCGACATCCTTAGCCGTCTGGGAAATCCAAGTCAGAATTACATTGAGATTTCCTACCACCCTGTGAAGAATGGCTGTGTTCTCTTTTGCTTTTTTTTTTTGTTGTTGTTGCTGTGGTGAAGCGCTCACTGACTGAAATCAATTAGAGTAGGAAAGGGTTTACTTGGCCTACACTCCCGGGTCACAATCCATTATTGAGGGAAGTCACAGCAGGAACTGAAGCAGACACCATGGAGGAACACTGCTTCGCTTACTGGCTTCTGCTCAGCTATCTTTCTGCCTAGGGATGGTACTGCCCACAGTGGACTGGGCCCTTCTGCATCAATTAACAGTCAAGTTAATGTTCCGCCAACAAGCTCTCAGGCCCTGTTTCCAGTCGATTCTAGTTTATGTCACATTGACAATAAAGCCTAACCAGTACAAGGTATTATCATCAAGAAAACAAGGCCTGGCGTGGGTGGTGTTAGGGGGTAGGTTTTGTATACTGTTGGTAGGAATGCAAACCTGTGCATGAGCAGCACCTGTGGAAATCAGTATGGTGATTCCCCAAAGAACTGAAAGTTAGACGTGCCACATGGTCCACCTTTACCATTCCTGGATCTTAAGTCAACATACCACAGAGACTTGAGCACATCCATGTTTACACAGCACCGTTTGCAAGAGCGGAGGTATGGCCTCAGCCTCGTTCTCCACCAGAAGATGAGCAGATACAGAAAGTGTGGCATACACACACAGTGGAGCTTTATTTAGATGTACAAAGGCTGAAATTTTCCATTTTTCATTTTTTCAGGAAAATGGATGGAACGGGAGATCAAATGAAATAAGCCAGATGGAGAGAGATGACTATCGCCTGTCTCATCTTATATGTGGAATCTGGATTGAGAAAATACATAAAGAAATAGATGAAAATGGAAAGGAGACTACCTGGGGAGAGGAAGATGATTAGTGGGAGCTGGAAGGAAAGAATGACAAGGGTGAATAAAAACAAGAGGCACGATGCACACGTTTCTCTGTGTCACAGCAAAGCCCGTTGCTGTGCACAACGAATATATGCTAATAAAATAGAAAGATTTTATCCCCAAAGTTCTAGATACAGCACCACAATACTTGGTGAAAGGTCTGAAATTCTGTAGACTCCCAGTACAGAGAGGTGAAGATGGGATAGGATAGGAGAGGAGAGGAGAGGAAGAGGGGAGGAGAGGGGAGGGGAGGGGAGGGGGAGAGGGAAGGAGAGAGGAGGAGAGGAGAGGAAAGAAGAGGGGAGGAGAGGAGAGGAGAGGAGAAGGGAGGAGAGGAGAGGAGAGAGAGGAGAGAAGGCAAGAAGCATGGAGAGGAAGTCCTGTCTCAGCACTGACGTAGAGCAGAGACATGGTGTCATCAGGACAGGATGCTGAGCAGTTTTCTCGAATCAAAGGAGGATGCTGGTGCCAGATTGAGGACACATGCTATGGTGGTTCGAATGAAAATGGCCCCCATAGGCCCATAGGGAGTGGCACTATTAGGAGGTGTGGCCTTGTTGGAGTAGGTGTGGCCATGACCATAGTTCTGTTATTAGACTCAGTGTACTATGTGGAGCATGACAGGCAAAACTATGCTAGACTTTTGGAGGAAAAGCAAGATATATATATATATGAAGGACCTGGGTTCAGATGGCCCTGGATTTTAACAACCACACTGAGGGCATGAAGGCTAGGGGACAGTGATTCTCAGTCCATGGTTCAAGAGAATGGGGAGATTCCTAGAAACAGAGAACTCAAAATTGTCCCTTCCAAACGTTCTTGGTGAGGAAGCTGCCAGGCAATGTACGAGTCCAACTTAAGAGCAGATGGGACAGAGGAAGACTTGGGCCGTGGGGACCAGGCTTCCGTGAGGAAGCGACAGGGAACTTGAGAGCCAGGGCAACCCCAGGACACCAGCCTGGGCTTGGGAATGCCTAAAGACTCTCTCTGCTTGGATAACATGAGCCCATGACGAGTCCTGAAACTGTGGCTTTCCTGGAACAGCCCTGTGGTGCAGAGGTGGAGGCCCATCTGGGCATGTTCAGAGGCAGAGAATACAGAACAGCCCTGCCCGCCTCACCGTGCCCACACTTAGCTTGCCAAACCCCAGCCTCATGTCAGAAAGCATCAGGAGGGACCTTGCCCACTCCAGGGAGATGGAAGCCAGACCATGTCCCAAGCTGACCTCTAGCCTTCACCTCTAGCCATGGTCCCTGCCCAAAGAGCATTACTACAGTAGGCCTGTACCTGCACGTGTGTACGACTACAGTTTCCTTGTTTGTTTTCTTTTACTTTCTTGAGACAGGGCCTTACTCCATAGCTCAGGTTGGCCTGGAACACACTGTGTGGTCCAGGTTGGCCTCAGATTCATGGTGATCCTCATGGTACCCCAGCTGCTCATACGATGGTATGGCAGGCACTTGCGGTCAGTCTTGCCTTTGCTGTGCAGCTTTTCAGTGTGTCCAGTATACTTTACAATGATAAAATAAAAAAAATACTTGAACAAAAGAGAATGAGGTGGACACAGCCTTTGCTCCCCACTTTCCTCTGCCCATCAAGGCTGTTCAGACTTCCCTGGGAACCAGGCGGCTCGTCAAATCTGTTCTCCCTCACCTGGGCTAGCAAGTCTCCCTAGCGCTATGAGCCCCCCATCCCTTTTTCTGTAAAATTGGGGCATAAGAACCTCTTGGTAAGGGCAGATGCACCTATTCTTGTAATAATAACCACCTGGTAAGCTGGCTGAGCACAGGGCTGTGTGAAAGACCCAAGGAGCCAGAGTTCTTCACATCCTGATGGGTGTGTGAGCGTTGCTATTACAGTTAGATTATAACTCTGCAATCATGGGCCCTGGACAACCTGTGTCTCATCAATGGCCTGGGGGGCCATCCTACCCAGTTACTTAGCATACCCATAGTCTCTCAGTCAGAACCTCCCTCTGTGGGATTCCTGCCCTTGTGTGGGAATGGCTGGACCAGGGTTTGGATGTGGCGGGGAGATGGCAATACAAACTTTCTCCCATGATGTTAGCCTTCTGAGCTCTTCAGCGTGTTACAGGCAGAGAATAAGCTTGGGCTCATGTATAGAAGGCTAGAGATTGGACTGTGGTACATCTTGGTGACAGTCACTGTTCCCTGAACACCATTTGTGCCATGTGTATAGAGTAGTTCAACACAAAGCTTCCCAGAACCAGTGGATCTGGAGAAAACAAGCTGTCCCAGGCCCCTGGAGGTCATTATGGCCTCCAGACTGGTGGGGGAGGGTCATTGAGATCTCTGGTTCACGCCTGGTTTGATGAGCTCAGGCAGCTGAGTCCCAAGCTTGCATGTCTCCATCAAGCAGGAACCCAAGAGGAAGGAGCTGAAGCTGGGTTACAACCTGAGGAGTGGATTGACCTGGCATAGGCCTTTCAGATGCTGGTGTATGGGCATCAGGGAAGGGACGGTGAGGAAGAGATACGCAGAAAGAGAGTAGAGTTGCAGCTGGATGATTGGTTCCTGCCTAAGAGCCCTGAGGCCCTAGTCTAGCAGGACTCTGCACCAAGAGGCCATTTCAAGGATACGAATATACAGACAACACCTGGGAGAGCTCAGAAATCCTGTGCACCCACATAGTTTGAACCCCCAGGCAACCGACGAAACACCAAAGCCCTTGGGGTACTAGTCTGTGTACCAGGGGAGGAAGGCCTACCGTGGACTTGGTCATGTGCTCCAGGGCCAGCTGCATGAAGTTCCTCTGCCATGTCTCCTCCAAGACATCAAGGGCTCCAATGACAGCCTGCAGGACCTGGAAGAGTCGGAATCTGTGCCGGCTGGAGATCTGTGGAGGACAGAGGTTATGTTGGGACCATGGTGTCTGACAGTATGGGGAATGCCAAGGAGAACCCTGGTAGGAGGTTATGCAAAGAGGCTGGCGAGAGGGAGCACAAGTGGACACATTCATTTGGTAATTCTTAGGGGACACCTGCCTTGTGCTGACCTTGAGCCTGGCCTGCAGACCTGAGAGGGAGAAAAGCCTGTTTCTGTCCTCAGGGAACTGCTGTGGGATTTAAAAACTCCGCCTCCAAAGGGAGATCATCTCTTTACTAACACTTAGACAGGTTTTCCCTCATCCATGCATCCATGCATTCATGCATTCAAGCATTCATAAATGAATGCATCCATCCCCATGTTTACTCATCACCCACACATCCCTCATTCCCTCCTTATATCAGCCCACCTCTCCATCAATTACTATATCCATCTGCCCACCAGTCCATCATCCATCCATTTGTCCACATATTCAGCCATCAGTCTCTACCATGTACTGGTTCTGTGACCTTAGGTCAATCCCCTTTTCCCGAAGCCATCGTCTCTCATCTTTGAAAGTCCTCACCTCTACCTCACAAGAGTGCTCTGAGCACGGTGAGACCACGTGAGTACACTTTCTTTTCTCCCCACTTAGCCTATTGGCATGCAAAGAGACTGACATTTTACCCGAATGGTGCAACTGCCCTATGTAGGATTCAGACTTTGAACCTCACTTGAGGTCCAACCTTCTTCCCCTATGCTCCAATGCCTGCTCCAGGGGCCCAAGCAACATCACCTCTGGATTGTCTTTGAAGTAGTCATGGATGGTTTCCATCACCAGGTTGGGGGTTTTCTGAGCCATCTTCTTCAGCTTCTTGGTGATGTACTTGAGTTGGAGAGGGTCTGAGGTGGCGACGTCCTGGAGCATCTTGAAGCAGATGGCTGAAGTTGACAAGAAGGGTATGAGGATGGTGGGCCTTGGGGAGGGCCTATTGTGTCAGAGGGTTGGGTGGGCAAGGAGGGACAAGCATGTAGTGAAAACAAGAGCTGGACATATGGGGAAGTAGTCTGATAGTCTCACTTTCTACTTGGTCCCTTACGGGGTTTAAGATGGGACAGAGCAGCAATGCACGCTCATCAGCATATTCTTATTCTCTCATTCATATTTCCATCTACTCATTCACCCACCTATTGACACACCCACCCTCCCATTCATCCCTGTTTCTGTATATCCAATGATCTAGCTCTCCATTCGCCTGTCTGTCCATTTCACGTTTGTTTAATCACCCGTTCACTTGTGCACTCCCAAATCCACCCACTGATCGGTCCATTCATCCACCTAGCTAACTACTATCTATTCATACATGTTTTGATCCCTTTAGTAATATATCCACACAGGTAGTCATAAATTCACTCAAAAACCATCTCTTTATCCTTCCAGAAATCAATTCTCTGATTTTCCCACTGTCTATCCAGTCATCTGACACTCCTGGGCATTGGAGTGAAGAGGTAAGCATTCCAGAAAGAGGGGTCCAAGTCTACGCTGAAGTTCTGAGGTGTAAAATGGTGTGGTTAGAGAGGAAGTGTGGTTAAGAGGAGGAGGGGACATTGATTTATGTTGTTGTTGTTGGTGCCCCAGAAGGCAGGAGCAAACCAGGGCTCTCACAGATAGCTGTCCACAGCCTTTGTGATACACAGAGTCCTGGAGAGGGCCTCCTTCTAGTCCTCACCCTCAGAGCTCCTTCCTGTGGAGGGACTTGATGGGACCTATTGTCTGGCTGTCTTCCAGGCCATCCTCACCTGAATTGTAGGCCTCCTCCATAAACATCTGGTGTTCCTTGGACACCAAGGAAGCCTGGCTGCTCTTGGAACTGCATAGCATGATGGTGGCAGGATGGGACTGTCTGTCCCAGGAGGCATAGTCTTGAGGTTCCTTGGTGCACAGTGACTCCTTCGTAGAAACAGAAACGTGGGAGAAGATTCTGAAATGGAGCAAGTTCTGTGTGTAAACGTCACGTGCGCTTATGTGAGTTCACGTGCAGGGGGCATTGGCACAGTTTGCTCTGGGTCAGGCACTGTAATGTTGTCCTTCCACGTGTCTGTCCTTCTGTTTAGCGGGCTGGTGAGCCTGGAGTGGGGGTGCCTTGAGGCTCCAGGACATTGCCGAAAAGTTTCTTAAACTGGGTCTGACCCCATATAGGGTCACATAACTGCATGTTGGAGCCTCAAAAAAACCTTAATAACAGTAAAAGATTTCTGAACATATGATACCAAAAACAGATTCAAAATCAGACATACTATGATTTGGAGGTGTTTCTGGAAGTGTTTGCCTGGGCTGCATTGTGTGACTTCACCACAGCCTGTGTTCTGAACACACCAACCACACATTCTGCACTGTACACAGTGTCATGGAAAACAAAGGCTTTGAATATTTCCCTGCCAGCCTTACTTAGCATGTAAGTATCAGATCAGCATAATTTTGGATTGTATTGTGTTGGACAAACAAGCCCATCCATCTAATTAGCAACTAATTTGCTTTCATCTTTAATAAATGGTAAGATCCTACATACCAGATAAATGAATTAAGATACATTACTTTATGGTTTTATGATCAGCTAATGTTTGACTTGTATGCCTGTTGTATAGGCCTATCCATGGGGATGTTTGGCTTGTATCCCTATTGCATACACTGGTGTCCTTGGAGTCTCATAAAAGTTTCTTAGGCAAAAGATTCTCATGAGTGGAGAAGTTGAAGGTCTGGAGAAGACAGCCTGGCCTAGCAGGGGTGGTAGACAGAGACACTAGTGGTCCAGAAGACCTCAGAGTGTCTCACACCAGCTCTATCTCTTTTATTGATTTGGAGAGTCAGGGTTTTCAGAGTGGCCTAGGGGATGTCCTGACCACCCAGATGCCCCTTGAGGGGTCTCTATGTGGGCAGATCTGCAGGAGCAGTAGGGGTAGGAGCACAGAAGATGCAAAAGGGTGGGAAGTATCTCCCCAGACTGGCAGATGCCATCCAGGGCCAGAAGAAAAAGTACTCTTGCTTTGGATGTGGCCCAAGTCTAGTGCTCCCATGACTCCATCTTGGCCCCTGTTCCTTGCTTCAAGACCCCATCTGCTTGTGTGTAAATCTCAGTTCTGCACACTTCTCATGGGGAAGGCCTATTCCAGACTGCTCCTTAGGTCCATATATGAAGAGGATAAACATGTCTGCTGACTAAATAAGAAGACTATGAGGCCTATGATAACACAGCCATCACCGGGTGTGCTAGAAGGCAGTCATCATGAGTGTATTAAAAGACAGCCCTCATGGTCATCCTAGAAGGCAGCAGTCTCTAATGTTTATTTAGTCATTGTTTCATATGTGACACTTGTCATGCCATGTCTCTGATTCCTGTCATCCTGTGCATCCATGATGGAACAACCAGGACCAGACTTCCTTCTTGCCTTATACAAATCAGAAACTGCCACAAGACATACAAGATCATTGTCATCAGGCAGTAGACAACATCAGTGCAGGATAATGGTCCCCAAGAGATGGGAAACCTACAAGGTGAGCCTCAGGTTGTGAAAGCTGGTTGTTGGGGCACAACCCAGTTTCCAGTGGGGACCAGGAAAGTCTGTGACCTTTGGTGAGCTGCTGACATGAAGGTGACAGTTTGAGGAGACCACAGTGGCCAGTGTTTGAAGGGAGGAGGCCCAGGCAGAATTCTGAAGATCTACAGCGTCCCCTTCAATGACATCTACATCTGCACTTAGTGCATACAGGGGTAGGAGCAGAGGAAACAAGCTTTGGGGCTAATGCAGTCCTAGGAAGCATTCCTTTTCCACCTCCACAATGAAGTCTTTAAGAAGTCACGTCAATCACAGGAAAAATCTACCCAAACAAGGATGCTCTTGCTCTTCCTGCCAAAGCTCTAAAAAGCAAGGCTCAAAGGGACCAGCTGTTTTAACAGTTCATATTCCAGACAGAGCTGAAGAATACTTGTGTGTGCAGAAACAGCGCCATACTCAGCAAGGTCTAGTTCATGGTGTCTGGCAGTCACTCAAAACTTATCAGGCATGCAACTTAGCAAGAAAACAATCCACAAAGAGAGAAAGTTAACAGACCAGAATCAATTCGGAGGGCAAAGTATGAAGTACTGAGGTGGGGGGAATCTCAGAAAGTTTGGGGCTATCCTGGTCTACACAGCAAGTTCTGTGCTAGCCGAGGCTACAGTGTGAAATCCTGTCACAAACAAACAGATACATACCAGTACTGGAATCACAGGATCAGTAGACAAGGACATTAAAACAGGTATGTTCAACATAGCAGAATGAGACATAAGGATGCTGAGGAGAGACAGGGAAGAAAGAAAAAAAGATGAAAAGCATGTTTCAGAGTAAGACTCCAGTGGGTGACTTGAACAGCAGACTAGATACCTTGGAAGGAGAAACCAGCACATGGAAAAGATCTGAAAAATGCAACACAGACACAGAGTGGAAAAGATAGAGCGGAGTTTTCAAGCCGTGGGACAACTTACGACATCTCAACATTTTCCAGGTGTGATGAAGACTGAGGATCCACACATCCAGGACGCTCAATGAGCCTCAAGCAAAGAAACACAAAGAACACACCAAATGACACCAAGAAAATGCCACCTAAAACCAAAGGCAAGAAACAACAACAACAACAACAACAACAACAAAAGACACATTAAAGGAAAGGAAGACAGCAGTGTCCTTGTTCAAACAATGCAAGCCAGAGGACCAGAAAGGGAGGAGGAGACTCCAGCTGTCTAGAAGGTGCTACTCGAGAAACTATCTTTGAAACCTCCAGGTGATATTTGGTGCTTTGCATACATACACCCCCGCCCCCCATGAATTCACCACCAGAAGACCCAGACCTCAGATAGCATTAGAGGAGTTCGGAGGCAGGAGACTGATAGATCAATGTATGAACTAACAGAATAAAGGCCACTGGAGAGGCTTAAATATGCACCGAAGTAGAAAAGGTCTTTGCTCAACTTTAAACTTTAATGTGAAATAATGCATTGCAAGTCTATAACAAGTGTCGAATTAAGATACATCATATCAGCGTAAGATCAGGGAAAGTGAAGGTGACGTGTCGCCAGTTCTGTCACTGAACGTGGGGTGACACAACACGGAGGGGCGGGGGCGGCACTCAGGCTGTGCTGTGTCCCGTAAATACCTAAGCAATGACTAATAAGAACAGCGACACGGGCTGGAGAGATGGCTCAGAGGTTAAGAGCGCTGACTGTTCTTCCAGAGGTCCTGAGTTCAATTCCCAGCAACCACATGGTGGCTCTCAACCATCTGTAATGAGATCTGGCGCCCTCTTCTGTATACATAATAAATAAATAAATCTTTAAAAAAAAAAAAAAAGAACAGCGACACAAGATCAAAACCGCAAAAGGACAGTAAAGGACAGAGGTGAAGAAGGCCAAGTCATACCAACAGTCACATCCAATGCAAGTGATGCAGACACCGTGGTCCAGCAGCAGACACCGTCAAAGGGAAGGAGGACAGTGAGACTCAAGTGTGTGTTTCCTGTACGAACTGTACTTGTGCTGTGAGTGGCAACGCTCAGATATAACCTGCACTCCCAAGACCGAGGCAGGGGAATGATGAGTTCATGTTTAGCCTGGGTTACATAGTGAGATCCCGTCTAAAAATAAATAAAACAGGTGCAGGAAAGACAGCGGAGAGCACTTGCCGTTCTTACAGAAGAGGCAGGTTCGATTCCCAGTGCTGACATGGCAGCTCACCACTGTCTATAACTCCAGTTTCAGGGATATCTGACACCCTCTTCTGAACTCTGGGGGCACCAGGCATGCTTCAGGGCATAGGCACACACACACACACACACACACACACACACACACACACACACACACACACACACAGAATAAACAAATCTCCAGTGACTAGTATCTACCTGTAAAACTAAAACAGAACATATCCAAACCAAGGAAAGAAAATGGTGAGAACCTGCGGCTGTTGAGACAGCTGAGCAGTGAGGACATTTTCCATCAGACCTAAGATCAATCCCCGAGACCCACATGGTGGAAAGAGAGATCAGACCATGAGAAGCAAAGCAGAAAGAAATAAAACACAGAAATAAGCAAACCAAGGTGGGGAGGATCTGGGAGGAGTCAAGGGAGGGGGAAGAATAGGATCAAAATATGCTGTAGGAAAAAAAATTCAAAATAAAAAGCAAATCCCTCCCTCCCCTAAACAAATAGAGAAAACCAGCCAATCCTGATACTAGTTCTGTGAAAGGCCAAATTCATTGAAAAACTCCTTGTGGGGTTATTGGAGCAAAAAAAGGAGACGATGCAAATGATTAATTTAAAATAGAGTGGTGCATAACTACAGATCTTACAGGTGTTTGCAGGATGATATGGGAATACCATGAATAACATTACTCAAGCTAGGGTAACAACTTAGGCTGAGGCCATAAAATGCTAACACTCACTCAAGAGACAAATGACAAGGAAAGAGCATATATGATAAAATTTACTTTATATTGAAACTTCCCACAGGCTGGCCTCAGAGATCCGCCTGCCTCTGCCTCTGAGCGCTGGAATTAAAGGCATGCACCATCCACCACCCAGCAAAGACTACTGATGTTTTTGTTTGTTTGTTTTTTGAGACAGGGTTTCTTTGTGTAGCTTTGGAGCCTGTCCTGGATCTCGCTCTGTAGACCAGGCTGGCCTCAAACTCACCGAGATCCACCTGCCTCTGCCTCCCGAGTGCTGGGATTAAAGGCGTGGGCCACCACCACCCGGCGGGCTACTGATTTTTGACAGATACGCTAAAGCAATTCCAATAGGAAAGGCAGGCTGGATTCGCCAGCATGTCACACTGAAACAGTTCAACACATGCTCACAGCAATTCCCATCTATATTTCAAACACATGCAAAAAATAACTCGAAACAGCATGGAGTTAAAAGTAAGGCCGAACTCTTGAAAGTTCTAGAAGAAAACAGGAGAAAATCTTCATGACCTTGAGTAACGAAGACTTCTCAGATGCACCAACAAAAGTATTACCCACAAACATATACCCTTGATTTAGTAGAAACAGAACTTTCGAAGGGTATCCAGACGGAAAGGTGAGCGGCAGGCCCGGAAGCAATCCTTGCAGATCATACAGGTAACAGAGGAATGAATCCCTAAATAGACCAAGAACACTGAGCCGAACCCAAACACAGACAACCGAACAAAACACAGGCGAAAAAGTTGATGGGACAGCCACCTGTGGAGAGAAACAGATGGCGGAGCCGCGGATGAACAGGGCCATACTGTCCTTCCTGAAGGACAGAAAAAAACCAAAGCCACAGCAGGGAAGCATTGTGCGTGCATGCCTAAAATAATAAAATCAGGAAAACTTAATACAGCAAAAGCCGTGGGACAGCGGAAGTGGGAAGTCTCTGCAGAGCTGGGGTGGAGCTGTTACACCCCCGCACTTGAGGGAAAAAAAGTTGGGTAAGTCGAACACGCAGTGGGCATGTGACTCAGCCCCCACCCCCAGCCCTGTGTGTTCACTCGAGTGAGTTATAGTCATGTACTAATCCCAGCACAAATGTTTAATAGTGGTCTGATTTAGCACAGCTAAAAATTCAAAGCATACAGATGAGCTTTCTAAACAAGCCATAGCACACCCCAGAAATCCAGGGGAAACAGATCGATAATGGCACGGACATCAGAAACACAGTATGATGTAGAGGAAGGCAGACCCCCAAGGCTACACTTCATGTTACTTTTTTCTGATGTAATGGAAAAGGTAACATTGGTCAGTGGCTCCTGGGCTGAGTGTGGCTGAACTCACTCATTGCCAGGCTGTGTGGGATGTGTTTGGGGACAGAGCTGCTTTTTGTCTCCTTTGTGGTCTAGGACACACTCAAACCAGTGAATTCCACCATGTCTAAGTAAGATTATACAGGAAAAGGGAAAAAACAAAAAACAAAAAACAAAAACAAACGGACAAACGAAACCCAGACAGTAGAAAGGAGCCCACCCTGCCGGGTCTCATTTCCTCCTGCCTCCTGTTCACTCCACCCTAGTCCAGTGAGCTCAGGCTCTCTCTAAGCACCAGGCAAGCTGCAAGTTCAGGACATTGGCACTGGCTGCTCCCTTCTATCTGGACTGCTATCCAGATAGCAATCCACATCATTGCTATCCTAGTTCATGACTTCTTTTTTTTTTTAAAAAAATTTAAGTTAATTAATATGTATGTATGTGTACATGTGCCTGCAGAGGCCAGAAGAAGGTATCAGACAGCCCGGAGCTGGAGTTACAGGATGTGAGTCCGCTGATATGGGTGCTTGGGAACCTGACTCGGGTCCTTTGCAGGGCAGTGGACACTCTTTAACGGCTCAGCCATCTCTCCAGCTCCCAGCTGCTCACTTCTTTCAAGTCTCACTTAGTTATCATCTTGACGAATTTGTCTGAAACTTCAGCCTGACCCTTCCTCTACGTCTTGTCTCCCCGATTTCTTCCACCACTTTTCAGCTTTTGTGGCCTAACCGACAGGACTCTACCAATTCTCATCTCCAGGGCAACCCAGCCCCTCTGGATCTTTGCCTAGAGAACCCTGTAACCGCCTTCGGAATCTTCGCTTAGGTAACACGCGTGCCTGAGGGCATCCAGTGAACACCTCGGGGCTCGTGCGCCTTCCGTTTTTCCCTATGGACCCAGCAGGGTGCTCTTGGGAGAGACTGCCTCCCTGGTCCTGAGATCAAGCTGGGGGAGGAACTATTATAAGGTTGGACAGAGGAGAGGGGAGGCCCTGGCTGTGGAGCATGCTACAGCCCTGCTATGGACTGACTTCTGGCCCTGCTCCAGGGCTCAGGTGGAAGGAAGCCTTACTGTACCATGCATCCTTGGAAGTTGGACCATCCGAATGATCGGGGTTAAGCTGGGTCCCGAGGATGGGGCCCAAGCATAGGGTTAGTGACTCCACAGGAGGTTCTCCCCCCCCCCCACTGTGAGCACGGAGCTGGAAGGTGGCTCTCAATGAGCCAGGAACTGGCTCTCACCAGAGGCCATCACAGTGTGAATTTCTGCTCCGAAACTGTGGGAGACCAGTCTGGTGGGAGATGTCCAGTCCTTGGTGCAGAGGAAGGAGTCAACTCAAAAAGCAGCCCTGGAAGGCTAGGCCAAGGCTGTGGCCTGTGGGCAAGGCCACCCTGTAGGTGCCTCATCTGTGTGCACGTGTACCTGTGTGTACATACGTGTGCGTGCAGATATGTGTGTGTGTATACTTATGTGTACCTGTGTATAGCTGTGTGCATATGTGTATATATACATGTGCACACATGTGTATACCTGTGTGTATGTATGTGTATATGTGTATATATGTGTGTGTATATATATGCTTGTGTACATGTGTGTATATATACATGAGCATACACGTTTGTGTGTATGTGTATATATATGTATGCCTGTGTATGTGTGTGTATATATAGACATACATGAGCATACATATTTGTGTGTACATGTGTAAGAGTATTGTGTATATGTGTGTGTACATGTACATGTTGCGTGTAATGAGTGAACAGTAGTCTCTCCTTCCTCTCCTCATGGTCAAGTCTGTGAGAACACAAGCTGCTGTGTTCCTCCTGCTCTGCCCTGAAGAAGCTGACCCAGAAGTAGGCAGCAGCCTGTCCCTGTCCGTCCAGCTGTCCATTCACTGGCTTACATTGTGCTGGGACCCTTGTCCACCATATTCATCGCTGGTCCTTATGAACAGTTGCTGCCCTCTCCTCCCGCGGTCAGGGTAGAGCTTGTGGTCCAGATCACCACTCCCCTCCTCACACTGAGGGCAGCAGCGTCATGGGACCCACCCCAATCCCTCCTGGGCTGCTCTCGGAGGTGAGACCTCTAGACACTGTGCTGGCACTGCCCGCCCAGGACGCACCCTCTGGGGTGGCGTGTGGCTCCCCTGGAAGGTGAAAAAGCCAGGTGCCTGAAGACTGGGTGGCCCTGGCTCCCCCACATCCTCCGGGGCTGAACTGACCTGGGGTTGTGGGACATGGCTGAGGAGGTCCCATCAGTTGAGCTACGGCTGTGTGACCTGTTAGACTGCTGCCTGTCCATGTTGAGGCTCAGAGTGGGAGACCCACAGGTCCCAATGGCCAGTCCTATCCTCACCGACGGACTAGCTCTGTCCCGGGCACTGTCCCTTCTCTGGTGCCCTGACCTCACCCTGAGGTCACAATAGCTCCAGTGTCTACGGCATCCTTCCAGAGACAGTGATGTGGAGCCAGCACCGTCTGAGGATGGCAGGTTGGGGATGTATGCTTGGGTCAACATACACATTGAGGATGTGTATCCCCAGTGAGGCCTCATGTCCGTCTCTTGGTCCTCAGACCTCAGACATTCTCTGTGACTTGTGGAGGAGTGGACCATCTGTTATATGAGTCCAGGACCCTGTGGCGATAGCAGGGCCTAGGCTGGGGCTGTGACTGCTCTTGAGGGCTCCAGCTGAGCACAAGAGGTACTGTACTCTCCCATCTGGGTGCTACTGCACAAACTCTGCCCCCCACCAACCACTGTCCCTCACGGCTCTTGGAGTGAGGCCAGCCTGAGGTTCCAAGTAAAGGACGGGGCAAACTGCCTCAGCCTACCTTTTACTGACCCTGAGGCTCAGTGACCCCGAGGCCCAACTTCTCCATGCTTCAGTCTCTCCACCTGTGAAATGGGAGCACATCTACCCAGCTCCTGGGATGCTTTGAGGCTCAATGAGAGGACAGAGTACTCCAGCACAGTGCCTGGGCAGGCTAGGGGCATCTTGGTTCTGGTGCCAAACTGTAGTCACCACCTCAGTCCAACAACAGTCTGCCAGAGATGGCTGATGGTGCTGAGTTACAGTGCTCAGTGTTGGGGGTTCCTGACCCCTCCAAAGTGTGAGATGCAAAGTAGGAAACCAGTCCTCAAGGGAGGCGGTGCTTGGTGCAGACTTTCTGATGGTCATGAGCCCCCAGGCCATGTGTTCTGTCTCAGCAGCAGAGTTGGGACCCAATGTTTGCTGGAGGTCCTGAAACCCCTTTACATGGTAAGGAGGCTCACACCTACCCATTCACAAGGGCGGCCACAGCACAGCTGCTTCTGTGGCTTCTACAAGCATGTGGTGGCTCTAAGGGCCCTGATAAAGATTTTGTGTGGGACCCTTGACCATGGGTGTGCGGGAGCCAACCAAACAGACTTTGTGGGGGATTCCTGAATTTTTAGGAATTTTGTGTGTTGGTTGCTAAATAAAGCCACAGAAAAACAGATTATCTCAAGCCCCCACACGATCCTGTCCTGGTTTTGTGGCCATGTCACTGTCCTCTGTGCTGCTAGGATCATTACTGCACACTACACCCGTGTGGATGGAAAACTATGTACTGGCAACTTTGCGTTAAGTCACAAGCATCCATGGTGTGCACGAGAACCTGAATTCAGCCAGGCTCCTGGTTGTGCCATGCTTGTGTTGGTCTGCCTGTGAGCACTACCAGCTTCTGCCAGACACAGGCTCGCTGTCTAGTGGGAGCTGTTTCTTCCTCTTGTTACCCAAAGGTCAGATGTGCCCACTGTACGAAAGTCAGAGGGGGCCATAAATTGGTTAAGGCCACACAACTGTCAGTGGCAGAAGCAGGATGCAGATACGTCCATTGTGGGGATGAGGCCCCATGGCCATCTGGTGCCCTCTTTTCCTGGTTATTAGCCTCCTCATCCTGCCTCAGTGTCTCACCTGCTGGGCTTCCCAGCTTCCACATGTAGCCAGTAGGTGGCGCGCTGTGGTCACAGACAGGACTGTGGTCAGAGGGCTGTGGTAGGGGGAGTGTGAGGAGGGGATGTGAAGGCTGGGACCCCACTGAGTCTGCTGGCAGCCCTGGAGCCCGTGGAGTGAGCTGCTTCCCTATAGCATCCTCCTCCAACCCAACAGCAGTGGGGGCGTTATGGACTGGGAGTCGAGCGTCTTACCGCCTCAGGGTGGACTTGGGTTGGTTTTTTCTTGGACCCCACTACCAAACCCTTCCATACTGGCTCCCCTAGCAGAGGGACCTGATCCACATAGGGCAGCCCCTGGCTGTTCCCAGGTCCCTCCTCTGCCTTTCCTCAGCCCTCAGTGTTCCAACAGTGCAGGTTTTTTCCTCCTGCAACATGGAGGGGGGCGCTGGAATTTGCCCCCTTCCTAAGGAAACACAGTATACTTTATCTCTTCCTGGATGCCCCAGTCCTGGCATCTCTGAGTTCTAGGGCTGCAGCTCCTCGAAGTGTGTTGGGCATAGTGGGAGATGGAGGGGGTAGCTGTGTTGTTGACGTTGATGGAGGGCGCAGGCATGCACCTGCACCTCTCTTTTCAGCAATACAGTGCGACTCCTCACACCCTCTGGAGACATCAGCCTCAGGCTGGGAAAACATGTAGACGAAAACCTGGGGGGGGGGGTGCAGGTGGCTTGACATTGGTCTCCCTGGATGTGACACCAGAAGCCCAGGTGAAAAGAGTGGAGATGGATGGGGAGGCAGTGTCCAAGCAGAAAACCCAGGAAAGCACAGGAAACAGCAAAACAAAAAGGCATCAGGCGGCGGTGGCCCACACCTTTAATCCCAGAACTCAGGAGGCAGAGCCAGGTGGAGCTCTGTGAGTTCGAGGCCAGCCTGATCTACAGCGCGAGATCCAGGACAGGCACCAAAGCTACACAGAGAAACCCTGTCTCGAAAAAAACCCAACCAACCAACCAACCAACCAAACCAAAAAGGCAGCTCTCCTCAGCCAGGGGAAGGTGCTGGCAACTGCCTCTCTGGTAGAGAGATACAGCCAAACAGAAAAAGAAAATACTCAACTCATCAGCAGACAGATCAACCCCCAACAAAAGGGCAAGGTGGGACGGGGTGACATTCTCCAGAGTGGACAGAGACCTGGTTAGCAGGTACACAAACAGGTGCCTCCATCACCGGAAACCCAGGCAGGGCCTTCAGCGCCACCGTGAGCTGTCACTTCTCACCTATCAGGACAGACTGTCGGAAAGCAAGACTGGAGGAGGGGAGTGCGGGGGAGGGGAGTGCTCCTGCCCTGTGGGTGAAGTGGGATATGGCGCCGCCAGTAGAGAAAACAGTATGGAGGTTCCTCAGAAAATTAAAAATAGCATTGCCATATGATTTAGTAATCGCCCTTCTGGGCACACATCCAAAAGCATCAAGATTAGGATCTCAGGAGGTATCACTCCTTGTTTGCCGAGGCAGCCGCAAGGCCAGGGTGTGGGAGCGACCTGTGTCTGTCTATGACTGGATGGATGGGGGGCACATGACTAGGCACCCAGAGGAATACCATCCAGCTTTTAACAAGGAGGAAAGCTGACGCCTCAGACGTGTGGCCGCCCCCCCTCAAAGACCCTCAGTGAGAAGAGCTGCCACCACAGACAACGTGGCTGTTCTCACTCCTACAACATATCTGAAGTCGGTAGACCCCCCCACAATGGGGAGCAGGATGTGGATGCCAAGGCTGAAGAAGGATGGAGGCTGCTGGCCCGTGGCTTCGGAAGACGGACAGGGAGTCTCACTGGTGTGGAATTGAGGGTGTCAGCTTATGTGTGGGGATCATATGCATGGGACACAGAACCAAAGCTCTGTTGAGGTAGAGTATCAGGGCTGGCCAGGAAGTTGTGAGAGTTGCATTCCACCCTTGTCTCGAAAGTCTGCCTATCTTCTTGGTTAACCGTAAGTAGACTGTTTCTAGGCACATTTTACAGAGAGGAAAATAGAGGCTCAGGAAATGACAGGGTGAGTGAGGGTCTCACTCTGAGCCCAGCCTTTGTGGTGCCAAATCTGAGGGTGTGGGGAGGTGGGCTGTGGCTGTTTGGGGACCTGAACTTCAGCCATCCCACCATGACTGAGCAGAGGGAAGGGGATGGTCTTAGTGTGAGCTGCCTGGGGCAAGACACACTCCTTTATCAGGACTCCTTATGAAGCCACAGAAGTCAAGAGAGGGACCAGTTTGGACAGGTGACTTCCCATGAAGGCTCTGTGTGCTTGGGGGTACAGAGCAGACCAGGAGGGCTTCTTGGAAGGGGACAGAGAGTGGTATTGAAGGACAAGAGTGTGCTTGCCCTGCAGAGGTTGGCAAAGTCCTGCAGGAGATGTGAAGATGCACGTGTGTGTGTGTGTGTGTGTGTGTGTGTGTGTGTGTGTGTGTGTGTGTTTTGGAAGGATGATGGATAGGTGACTCTTCCATGAAGGTGGCCCCATTCTCCCACTGCCATGCTGCTGTACCAATCAGTGTGGCCAGGTACCAAACAGGCCCCGGCAGTGAGCTTGCTCACATGATGGCTGGAGGTTGGGTCTTCTCTTCCCCAGGCCCCAGACCCAGCCACAAGCATGGGCCTTCACTTTTTCTGAAGTCGTTTTGGCTTCTGGGCCTCCTTACAGCCTGCAGGCATAGGTGCAGGGAAGTGGCACATTCCAGCCTCTTTCAGGAATTGTGGCTAGCCTGGACCATGAATGTTTGGGTGGTACCACGGAGAGGCTAGACCACAGTGCGCAGTGTTCCTGATGCCAGGGAGCCCTGCTGCCCACAGCAGTTCCTGCTAGTTTCTTGCCTTTGCAGCTCCACATCCTTGATCCTTCTACCAGTGCTGTGTCCACTGGGGGTGGGGTGGGGTGGGGGGACGACACAGGTCCACAGAGGCTTTTTGAGACCAGACACTTAGTCTGGCTCAAATCTAGAGTTGCTGAAGATGGGAGCTGATGATTAGGCTTCTGGGCTCTGGGGACACTCCTAGGGTGCCCATGGCAGCCGAGTCTGACTGAAGAGAACCAAGTTCTCAGCAGCCTTGTGGGCGCAGGCTGGGATGTGAACACCAGATTGAGCTGAAACAAGACAGGATGTGCAGGCACTTTCTGACTCCCATGAACCCCGCCCTTGGGCCCCAGCCCCCTTCCAGATGGGGCCCCTTTAAATGCAAGGTTCTGTCTTCCAGAAGGCTCCTCCCAGTCTCCTGGGGAGCCAAGTAAACAAAAGTGGGACCCCAGCTTCTGACATGGCTTCCCCTTGCTCTGGGGACCTCAGCCCCACTGGTCTGCCCCCGCCCTCTATCACCACTCCAGGTGAGACATGTGGGAAAGATGAGTGGTGAGGTGTGTGTGTGTGTGTGTGTGGGGGCGGTGTCTGAGAATGTGGGAACAGGGAACGGTGGTCCAGCTGTCTTCCAGAAAGTGGGGGTGGGGCTCACCCAGTCTCTTCCTCAGAGTTCCGTCCAGCTCCCCAGCTTGCCTTTGCCCTAAGAGCCCTCCTGGAGAAGACACAGGGCCTTCTTTGTTCTGGCCACACCTCCTTAAAACCCTCTAGGAGCCCAGGACCTCAGCCCTCCACCCCTGTGGGGACACCAACCACCCTCTCTGTTTGCGGACTCTTATCCTGTTATCCCGCTGACTGGTTCAAGCCTCTGGATTCATCTGCTCCTAGCAGCGTGTCGTGTGTGTGTGTGTGTGTGTGTGTGTGTGTGTGTGTGTGTGTGTGTGTGTGTGTGTGTCCCGTCTAGTCAAGGCCTGGTCAGCATGCAGACTACGGCTCCTCTGTATCCACCCATCTTGGGATTCTTCTCCGTCCTGCTCCCTCCAGGAAGCTCCTGCTCCACTTGGAGGAACCCCACTCTCTGTTTTTAAACCTCCTCCCTGCAGTCCCAGGCTTGCTCCCTCCCCTCCCTCCCACCCAGCCCTCTCTTTCTCCTGTCCTTCTTGGAAAACCCCCTCCCCAATGCTATCCCACCCTTGCCTGTGTCCACGGAGCTGGCAGGAAGCAGGTCTTCACCCTCTTACCAGCTGCCCGCAGGGTGCCTCCAGCAGGCCAGGCCCCTGGCTACTTCCTTGGTTGCCTGGCCTCTGTCCTAAGCAACGGCCAGGCGTCTTCTCTCCCTGTGCCCCTCCTCGGTACAGCTGCTGGCTGTGAACCTCTTTCCTCATGACACTGAAGCCATCACAGGAGGGCTCAGGCACTGATACCTGGCTCTGCTCACCTTGTCCACTCCCAGCCAAGGCCAGCTGCCCGCCCTTCTCTCTTGCTCAGCCCCACCCCACGCTGCCCTGGCACCTCAGGCTTTCCTCAGAGGTGGGTGGCCAAGCCTCCCCCCCACCTCCGATTTTCCTCAGCCGTTACCGCAGAGGTGGGTGTCTCTGTGTTCTCTCTCCCAACCTCACTTCCCTGGTAGTGACGGCCCCATGTCTCTGCTCCTCATTTATAACAAAACTCAGCTGGAAGGTCACGGATCCTTGCTGCCTCCAAATCTTTCTCTCCCGTTTGCTCTTGAACCCACTCTAATCAAGCTTAATTTCTGCACTTCCCTGAAGCAACTCAGGTCAAGGTCACCCATGACCTCGGTGCTGCTAAATCTGAGGCCAGCTCTCAGGCCTCATTTGATTGTGACCCACGGGCAGCACGTGACTCAGCCCCTCTCTGGCTTCCAGAATCTCCTACACTGTTCCTACATCACTGTCTCCTTCTGGGTCCCCTCACTGGCTTCTCCTCTCCCTGACCTGTCAAGGACAGATAGCCCCAGGCTTGGTTCTGGATCACCTCTCCCCTCCCCTCCCCTCCCCTCTCCTCCCCTTCCCTCTCCTCTCCCGTCCCCTCCCGTTTTCCCTCTCCTTCCCTCCCCTCCTCTCCCCTCTTTTCTCTCTCCCTCCCCTGGTGATTTTATCCACTCTTTTGGCTCTAAACGCTACATCCCCAAGTCTGTCTCCAGCCAGAGACTACGCTCCGCACTGGCCCATCTGAAAGTTTCAACCTGCCCCCAATCAAAGTCTCCATTCCCTGGCCTCAGCAGCTTCTCTTTTGCTGGCCTTGGAGTTTCCCTTTTCCACAGAGCTCCCAGTCCCACATCTCCACACAAACCAGCTTCGAGACACCGTCAGAAGCAGGGCTCTTCTCACTGCTGTCCTGGCTCCAGATGCCTTCACCTAGACCAGAGGCTGCTGCCTTACTGCTCTCCTGCTACTGCCCTCCCTACCCCCACCTCTAGAGGCTGTAGTCATCTGGAACAACGCCCGTCTGATAAAAAATCGTCCTATCCGTGCCCAGGACTGTGATGGGGTCACTGTCTCCTCTCCCAGGGCCCGCCTGCGGCCCCTCTCTTCTCCAAAGCATTTCTCCACCAACACCTCAGAGGAATTCCCACGGCCCCTTCTGTGGCTGCAGCCCACCCTGGTACTGAGCAGTAAGACAGGGACCTCAGAAGACGGCCAGGGAGACAGGACAGGCTGCAGGGACCTCATTAGCCCTCTGAGCTGTAGACGGAGGGTGCAGCCGTCTGCAGGCTAGGAGGGTCACTTCCACTTTATCTCTCCTCCTGGCATAACACCCCTAGTGCTGCCCAAGAAGGCATTTGCTTATCTGACGGTGGAAGAACAGGTTTAGTTGTCTGGCTCATGGCTGCAGACAGTGTCTAGTCCAGAGCCTGACTGCATACAGCAGGTGCTCAGTAAGTGTACTATGTAAGAATTATAACCAAGAGGTCCCTGGGCAACTTGGGTGTGGCATTTAGGGGGTTTACTGTAGTCCTCTTGAATGACTTTCCTGTTCTTAGACCTTCGCCTGTAGCAAAGATGAAATGTTGACCCCCCATTGCATTGTGGGAACCCACATACCTGAAAGCCCGAGTCCTCCAACTCCGAGGACTGGTCCTTATCTTGGGGCCTCAGCATCTGCTGCCATGCCAGGCTCCTGCACTCCATCTCTCCGACTGAGTGCTCCACTATCTTTATTTACCCTTACTTCCTCCTCATGGGAACCAAGCTGAAGACCCCAGGCCAGGCCCATCCATAGTCTACTGTATCCACAGCAGCCAGGATGGTTTCTACTGAGTGATTCGGTCACCTTCTGCTCCAGCTGCTGCCTGCCCACCACCTGCTGGGTGAATCCTGCCATCTTGAGCTTTCTGGCCAAATTAGCCCCCTTCCCATCTCGAACTTTCTGCCCCCCTTCCCATCTCGAACTTTCTTCCCAGGGGTCTGACTTTTTTCATACTCTCAGGACCTTGCTGGCCTCCACAGCCTGTTGATGCTGTCCCTCAGCAAAGTGGACAACTTCCCCTTTGGAGGGAGAGGTGACCAAGGAGGTAGGAAAAGGGTCAGGGATAGAGGCAGGCCATCTTGGTCCCATCTGGGCTTCAGAGCCTCGGCTCAGCCTCGCAGGCGCTGTCCTTGGTGTTGAGGGGGCCCCAGCTCTCACTCCCGAGTGGCCCTCACCTGGTTCTTCTGTCCGGGTGGCCTCTCCTTCCGTGTGCCAGTGCTTTGCGCCCCTAGCCTCCCCGCGCGGAGACGAGCGTGGGGGCCCCCCGCTGACTGTCGCGCCCGCTGCAGGTCCCGCTGCACCCCCCGCGCCGCGCTTCCCCGACATCTACGGCGGCGACGCGCAGCTCTGGGAGGCGCATTTCCGCGGCATCGGGCGCGCCTACCGCGCGCTGGGCAAGGAGGACGACTTCGCCATCCGCGTGCTCACCGAGGACTTCACCCTGCCCTTCCCGTTCGCCTGGCCGCCGGGGCCCGATCCGGCCACCGGACCGCTCTTCTACGACCCGCGGGACCGCGCGGGCTTCGACTTTCTGCTGCGCGGCCCCGGTGCGCCGCCCCCCGCGCTGCTGCGACCCCTGCACGCCACGGCGCAGGCGGCCGAGCGCAAGCGACGTCTGGAGCGCCTGGCGCTGAGCTACGCCGGTGCGGGCCGCCCCCCTGGCTTGGTGCTGCTGGCGCCTGTTGGCGCCTTCCCACCCGAGGCTGGCCGTCCTGCTTGGCGCGCCCTCGGCCGCGACAGCGAATAAAGCCTCTGCCTCTCGTGTGTCTCCTTGCCCTGCACCTTGCGCCAGGGAAGCCGGGGAAGGGGCGCGCGGGACAAGATGCCTGCACGAACTCAACCGTCTAGTGAGTCTGCGAGCCAGATGGAAAAGGTGACCCAGGCAGGCTGTGAGAGGGAGAAGAGCCGGGGAAGGTGGAAGATCAGGCCCTCCACCCCTGTGTTGGCACTCCCATGCAGCACCAGGATGGGTAGTTATGACCTCACCTGGCAGATAGGAAGGCGAGGGCAGCCTGGCCTCCAAGGAGTAGCTGGATGCTGGCTGTCCTTTGCCTCACTCCAAGAGTCACAGCGTCGCTGGTTTCCATGACAGCTGCTAGAGATGCACAGGACGTGGAGAGTATGTGAGAGGCAGTGTCAAGAAGGAGTTCTGACAGCCTCCATCCTGCCTTCCTCTCTATCCCCTCTACCTCCCTTGAAAATCTGAGAGGATTTCCTGGAATGGGGCACAGACGACCAGGGCTGTCAACTTGTCCCTTTCTAGGTTATAAACTCCAGGCAGGAGTCTGTGTGAATAATAAGTGGGCTGCAGGGAAGGACTGCCTCGCCCTGGCGGCTTCTCTAAGTTGTGAGGGCATCAAGCAGTATGGCTGAGCGGCCTTGAGTGAGATGACCAGGCTCGCTCTTGCTTGGGAGGCTTTGGGTTCCCGGTGTAAGGGGGGCTGGTGGACTGGAGGCCCGTTCCCACACAAGAGCATCTGGACTCAGATTTTGCTTGTGCTTTTGTTTGTTTCTTCTAATCCAGGAGTTATTTATAATTTCCCAGCGCTGGGGAGAAATTTCCCAAATGCTGGCAGAAGAGTTAACTTAGACGAGGGAATGTTCACTTTAGGGGAGGAGGAGGGGTGGGGAGGAGGCACAGTTCCAGAGACAGCCTGGGGCTGTGGAGGAGGGCATCTCTTCCTCTCCTCTACTGCACTGGCCTGGACTACAGCCTCTGCTCTAGGCTCCATTTGACCTCGGGCATCTCTTCAACTCCACAGAGCTGTCCAATGGAGTCATTGTAACACTCCCCGGCATTTGATTGCTAATGGGGCAGCATCCATCTTGACTCTGTGCTAGTGTGTTTATCTGTTCGTATGGCAGATTAGCTGTTCCGGCTCCTTAAAACCAGCATCTAGATTTGGAGGTCATCCTCTGAACGCAGGCAGGGCATCAAGGAAGCCAACTGGTAGGGAAGGGGGCCAGATGTAAAGCACATTACACTGTAGGCCACTGGAGGCGTTGCCCTCTGGCTTTTGAGAAAATGTGCCTCAGAGCCATGCTCCCAGGGACAGGAAGCCAAACGCTTAATCACTGCCTTCCTCTCATACTGAGGAGTCCTCTAGGCCAGTAAGTCCCCCAGGTCATCTTGCCCTGTGGGGGATGGAGCGCTCGCCTCCTCTCTCAGAGCACCGATGGAATCATTTGATGACTATGGTTTAATAACAAACATTTGGGGGTTGTGCTTTTCATGTTTTTGACCTCACTTTTCTGGAAATTTATTTTCAAAATAGTTTTCAAAGGCATGTGGTTAAGAGCTCAGAGATGGAGTCTTGGTCCAATCCGAGAATATAGGGCACCAAGACTCCCCAAATGAGTTATCAAACAGGAAATTAAACATCACAAGGAGGTGCAGGAGTGTGACGTGAGAAATAATGGTATGAACTATTTTAAGCAGGATGCGAAAGCCTCTTGGAGGGGTGGTGGCACTTCAGCTAAGAATGAAAGGGTGAGGAGGAGCTTGCCCTGTGGGTAGGGAAGGGTGCTGAAGGCAGAGGGGACAGTAGGCAAAAGCTGGGCAATCCCAGGGAATGGCAGCAAGGGTCAAAGCCCCTCTCCCCCCACCGCAGGAGTTCTACCAGGCTAGAGCCTGAGCTCAGGCTGGCTTCAACCGCAGAAGGGATAGGGTGATCAGGTAATTGGAATGGCCAGTAACACCATCTTCAGGGAAGGTTTGCTCCCTGGGCTTAGGGTTGTCACAGAAGCCCCGTCTCCCAGCTTGCTGGTTGTGCCCTGATTGCCTCTCCCCCGGGCTAGCTCAATTGACATACCATTTACCTTCACCATCACCTACAGGCCACTGGCTTCCATGAGCTGCTTCAGAAAGAACAGCTACATGTTCAGACGCTGCAGGGGCTCAAATGTGACTGCTGGTGAATGTGTCCCCATGTCCCAGGCAGTGCCACACACCAGTTGACACTAGTCTGTGCCACCCGAGTCAGGCCCTATGGCAGGAAGGCTGGGAAATATTGGGTATGCCGCAGAGCCATGCTCCCGGGGACAGGAAGCCAAGCACTTAATCACTGTCTGTCTAGAGACCAGTCCACAGTGGGAAAGGTTGGGAAGGGTGATGGGAGCTGAGCCACAGGCAAGAAGTTCAAGGGTGGGACTCTGTGGCCAGCTCCTGCTAAAACTCCCACTTTCCCCTGTACCCCCAGGGAGCATTCTGTCCCCAAAAGCTGTGGAGTGGGGCCTCTGAAGTTTGTGTAAAGCCTGGGCAAACACCTGTGTATGCCGAGAGGCGTTGGGGGCTGTGAAGGTAGCTTCAGCCTCTAGGAGGTCTCAGATGGGGGTGTGGAGGTAGGAAGTCCTGGGCAGTCTTTCCTGGCCTGAGCTACCCCTGTTCTCCTCATTACGCGAGGGAACACTCCAGTGCTGTCTTTGCTACGGCCACTGGCATGACTTTCCTTGGGCTTCATCTTCCGGGACTCTTGGCCCCTCCTCTCCAGCACCGATGCCAGCTCCAGCTGTCCTCCTTCCAAGTCTCATGATGTCTGGATCGTAAATATAGGAGGCATGTCCTAGTTCCATTTCCCGCTGCTGCTGCTGCTGCTGCTGCTGCGATACAATTCTGACAAAAAGTAACTTAGGGGAGAAAGGGTTTGTTCAGTGAAGAAGTCTAGGTTGCCGTCCGTCCTTGTGGGGGATAAAGAGCACGAAGACTGCTTGCTTGCTTCTGCTCAGCCCAGTCCTCCACTCTTACATGGTCAGCCCCCCCCCCCCCCCCCCCCCCCGCCTAGGGAATAGATCTGCCTACAGTGGGCTGGATCTTCCCACATCCATGAACTTAGTTCACACAGCCCTCCCACACGCCAGACAAGCCACGGGCCAATCCAGTGTAGGCAGCCTGTCACTGAGACCCTCCTTCGTCTCAGGTGATTCTAGGTTGTGTCAAGTTGGCAAAGCTAACCATCACAAGGCCTCAAACAAGGTCAGGTGTAGTGGCACACGCCTTAAGTTCTAGGGCTTAAAAGACAGAGAGGTTCTGGCTGAATTCTGTGAGTACAAGATTAGCCTGGTTTACATAGTGAGTTCCAGGCCAGCTAGGGCTGCACAGTGATACCCTGTCACAAACAAACAAACAAACAAACAAGCAAACACTTCAGAAACCACACGAGCTTTCCATTATCTTCAGAAATTGGGAAAAGTGTCTCTTCTAGGGTCATGGAGCTTGGCCTTGAATGGTAGCACTTTACCCCCAGATTTCAAGGAGCTAGGGTGCTGAGCTAAGACCCTCATGCTCCCTGTATGTTCCCATATGTTAAGGTCTAGCCAGTCCTCTGCTCCAAGTGCAGCAGTGTCTCCCAGGTGCCCGGTGTTTATCTGGATCATCCTCGGGATGCACCCACTTGATGGGGGCTCCACACCTGGATGAAGCACCCCCCCCTGCTATGGTAGGATCTCTGTCCTGGTGCACACATGGCGGAACTGCATACAGCAGGTGCCCAGTTAGTACCCAGAGCAGTCATAGGATCCGGGATATCACCTTTCAGAGCCAAGGCAGGGCATCCCGGGGGCCCTTTCCCTTCTGGGAATGGCAGAGAAGGGGATGAGGGAGGAGTCCAGGGTACATATGCAGAATCAAGGGGCCGGGCCCCTTCCACCTTACAGCTACTCCAGGTGACTCCAGGCCTCGCTATATTAAAAGGAGACTGGTCCATGCCTTGATTCCCAGGCTGCTAGGAATGGAGGTGAGACCCACCTCCCCAGGTTTCCTCAGGAGCAGATCCTGAGGAGCAGCGAGGATGTTTAATTAATTGCAATTACAATCTTCAAAGGAAGCCCTGGGTTGGAAGTTGTTCCTAATTACTGTGTTATGATGTCGGCCGGCTCCCTGAATTGATTGTGCTAGACTTTCCAATGGAGGCGTAATTGAGTCCCTGTGAGGACCTACTTTACGTCCCTCCCCCGTAGATAAAACCTGTGTTCAGCAAAGGCAGGGAGGCAGGTTGGCAAGGAGAGTAGGGTAGGGGGCAAACACTAATGCCTGCATAAAGACCTCAAGGCCAAGGTCGGGACTGATGGTGTGCAGATCTATTGTGAATGGTCAAGTGGGCTCCATGTGGTCACCTCTGCTGGTCACTGAATGGCCAATTGAAATCTACCGGCATTTCTGGGTGTGGTTGCTCCCCCTGGGCTATGAGCAGGTGGGGTTAGTAGTCGACCACTGACAAGCACTGAAATGCAGGCACCATGACCTTGCCGCTTGTGGGCCAAATAATCATGGTCTGAGTGAGCACATGGAAACCCCATTCTTGTCTGTCTTGGTGACGGATGCTGCCTGTGCCCAGGTTTCTCATAGTCTGAGTACTGGGGCTCAGTGGAGTTAGGGCCCTGTAGTAAGAACAGGAAATAAACCTCTGAGATGTGAGGTTGTTTCCAGGCGGCATGGTGTATGGAGCAAGGACAATCTGGCTATAGGGCTCATTAAAGCAGCATGGGTCCTTCTGGGCCAGGACTCTGTGTGACAATCAGGCTACCACATGCAGCAGATTTTGCCCCACCAGAAACCTAGGCTCATTTGGGAATTTTTTTTAAATGACTTCCTTTCTCTGTGCCTCAGTTTCCTAGCCTGTAAATCTGGGCATGGGAGGGTGTGAGCAGGCAGGATGTAGCCACATGGAACAGAATCCCAGGATATCCATCTAAGCCCACAGTTCCAACCCTCGCTCCCCAGGAAGAAGCCAGGCTCCCCCTAGAGGAGGCTCTCTCTCACTGCAACCAGGCCCTAGTGGATAGGGATATGAGCAGAGGGCGGGATGGGAGAGGAAACTCAGGAAGGAATGGCAAAGTGTCCGGAGTCTGGCCAGCAGGATCTAGAGATGGAGGACAGAAGCAAGATGTGTACTCCCTAGGGGTTTGAGAATGGGGATGCAACATAGCAATGGCGTGAACTGATGGTTAGGATGTGTGTCCCTAAGGCTGAGTGTGTCCCACCCCTAAGGGAGGACTTGGGAACTGAAGACATCCAACTCTGTGTACAGATCGTGCACGCACGCACACACACACACACACACACACACACACACACACACACACACACACACACACACACCACACACACACACACGGTCAGTGATAGTTTTTGTAGTGGGCAAAGAACCGTCTAGAGGGCTCCCTAAGTAGGGCGATGAAGGTGAATGCAAGGTTGGGAATCTACAGATCTGGAAACCGGAAGGATGTCTTGCTGTTGAGGGCAAGACCAGATGTGCGGGATAGATGGGAAACTGAAGGGCATTTGTGAGTCGTGCTAGTGAGCTGGTAGGGCAGAGCCTGGTCTGGATTGTCACTTCAGGTGGAGGAGGGATCTGGAGCTAGCAGGGGTTACCTGAAGGCAAGGGCGGTTGGCTCAGGGGTGATGTCCTGATACCCAAAGGTGGCTCTGTGGAGGTCATTACCACACTTGGGA